TAACGTGCTAGACTTGCAAACCTAATTATAAAATAAATGGTAGAGGGTAAATTAACGTATGTGCAGAAAAAGCTAGTGGATATTCTACTTTCTAACTCCTTTAAAGCTTTACCAAGTTTCCATATTGAACGGAGTTTTGAAACATGAGACTGAAATGAAGGTTGCTTGTGACTAGAGACCTGATTTAAAGTCAGAAAACAAGCTCTACATTTCAATTGGCACTTGAATACGACAATTTTGCATTTTCTATTTTCTGTCTGAAATGATAAGGCTCCTCACATTTTCATACTGTTTCCCTTCTGGCTCCATGGATCTGTAAGTCCATTTTCAGCTTGGTCTATTATGCCTTTCTAGGCAGAGGTGACGTAAGACACATTCTCATGATGTCGTAATACCACAGTTCTTCTAATCAGCCACTCAATACTTTCAACCCGTCTTTCTTAACATCATATTCAATTAGACCTCATATCGACTCTTTACAATCTGTCATTTTTATCCCTTTGTTTCCATTTCTGTGACCACCAACTCAAGTCTTACTCAATTTGTATGTTCAAGTATATTTTCTGAATTCTTAGCCTCAAGCATGTTCCTCTAACTGTCTAGCACTAATTCATCTTTCCTCACTAATCTTTACACAATGCATGTTTACTTACCCTGCTTCAACAAAAACATGGGTTCTCCCCACAGACAATAGAGATCATGTCTAAACTCCTGTCAGGACCTTCAACTACCTGATTCCAACCTGACTTTCTATCCCATCTTCTCAAGAACCTCCACCTAGTCAACCGACTTTGGTTTTTTTGGGGGGTGGGAAGGGGTCAATCCCATGAATACACACTACTCTTTGTCTCTTCTGTGTTTCTGTGGTTGCTTTTGCAATATCTATGTAAAGAAAAAAAGACCCTTTTCACCTTTGATTTGCACCATTATTTTACAGCTGACTTATACAAATGTATTTTTATAAGAGAAAACATTCTCAGAAAACAACAACAACAACAACAACAACATAAGAGCTCCATGGGAAAGGAACACACAGGTAGGAAAGGAGTGAATACACTCTCCATTTAAGCTCTTTGGAGCTTTATTATTATTATTATTAGTATTATTATTATTACTATTATTCTAAATAAATAACTCTTTAGAAAGAAAAAAATTCCCTTTTCAGGGTAGCTAAGAAAAGACTATGCAGTCTTGATTATAGCAAGTGGAAAGCTGTTATAAGTCTCTATTATTTTCTCATTGTCTTATTATAACACCAAATACTTTAGAATTTACAAATCCATAGAGGCTCATCTTTTTTATTGTGTGTCAATAGAAACCAAACTGGGAATGCATATGTTTTTCTCATCTGGAACAATATACCTCATATTCTAGAATGATAATACCCTTAAAGTAAGAATATTTTTGTCCACATAACATTGCAATCCCCAGGCATATTTGGTAATAATTTCCAAGGGGGCTGTCTTCTATGGGTTCCCCAGAAGTAGACCCAGAAGTGAGGATTTATGTACAAGTGGTTCATTCAAGAGGTGCTCCTGAGAGAAACTGGTAAGGGAGTAGGGGCCCTGGGACAGGGAAAGGGAGGAAGCCACACTGGGGGTGACCTCAGAGAAAGTTCTTTAGAGGGTAACTTGAACCTTATCCCACAGGATCTCTGGAACACGTGTTGCAATTTTCCCCCAACTCACTGCAAGGGGACTGGGCTTTCATACTCCTGGACCCATCAGTTACCATCTAGAGAGTGGCTGGGGTTTCTGATGCTGGGTATAACTTCCATACACTTCTGGTTCTCTGTGGCTGCACGCGAGACATGTGCAGTAGGCCAAGGGAAGTCATTAGAAAAAGAGTCACACGTGTGTGCTGTTGGAGGCTAAAAACACGTTAAGAACAGAGAGAGATGCAGGAAAAGGGACCTGAAGGGATCTCGATGAAGCACTGGCAGTGGCCACTAGACAGTATTTCTGAAATCCTGGAACCAGAGAATTCCTCTCCCAAGCAATTATTTGACCAATCAATAATTATTAAGAGTAGAGTGACCATGGGTATGCTGCTTACCTTCTCTTTGTTTCAGCTTCTTCATCAAATAAGTAAAAGTACCTCACTCAGGATTCTTATGAGTATTACACAAGGTAATACATATAACGTATTTTGATCACTGCATATAGTAATGGAAATAAATAATGATTAATTTTAGGGTTTTCAAAGCTCCTTTGTGTTTAGTATCACAATTGTAATAGTTAGGCAGTAGGCTTCTTCTATTGCCATAATAAATTTATCCCTGATTCAAACTATATACAGAAAGTAAGAATAATACTGGGGTGATCTGAAGAATATATTTTCAGTAACATATTAGGAGATTGGTAAACTGCATAAGAAAAGGGAAGGAAAGAGGAGCTTGGTCATATATAGTGGAAACAAAAATATAACTCATTTTGACACTAATGTAGGAAAAATTAGACCTAGAAACTTGGATACCATTTGAATTTGTCATTTACATAATTTAAAACTCTAAATTTAAGTCAAGAAGATTGAGATCTTTTATAGGAATAGTTATGGGGAAAAAAAAACACAAAACAACAACAAAACACTGAGAGAGTTTGATGAAAGGAAAGAAATAATAATAGAAAATGCAGTATTTTCAAACTTCCTAAAAAATTAAAGAAAAAGCACCATGGAGACACCTTTATCAGCACTGAGATAATATTATGTTGAGCCATATAAAGTCACCAAAACTTAGACATTTTTGATCTATGAAAATAGCAATTTTATCTTATTTGACCTACTACATAAAGCCTGTTGGAAGACAGTATTTTATGGGCCTCTCCTGCTCTTACACATCTTGCTGGCATTGCCAAGGATGCAAGGCCCTGACCTCTCTTTACCTGGCCCATTTCTCAGAGTTGTGTTTGCAGCAAGGAAGAAACCATGAGTGATGAGGAAATGTCTCCTTCCAGAATAAAGATCAGGCATGCTCACTGCTTGCTATAAAAGCAGTGAAGTTCTTGAGTTCAGTGTTTCTCTCCTGTAACACAATTCACTATATTTGTAGGTATTACTTGGGCTCTTTGCATCACCTGTTTGGAACTTGGGAGCGAGGGGAACCAATATAAATATACTGGTGCTCATGCTGCTTACTGGGCTATGAGTAATAATGTCCCTTGTCTTTGACTCAGGAGTCTCATGTCTTCTAGCATCCATGAAATAGCAACAAGCTAACTTCTTCGCTTTAAAGCAGGGTAAAGTCAATCTCAGACACCAGAAAGCCACAACAGAATACTCTCAAGATTGTGTTAGTTACATCAGTTGTGAATTTCTCCAAACCACTGTCAGTTAAGACAGGAAGTTGAAGATGTCCTTGAGAAAGATTGGTGTGGTCATTCATTACCGATCCATCTTTGCTCTTAGGATCCTTTCAGAGGAAATAAAAAACATGTCATGGTCTTTAGTCTCCCATACGCTTAGAACCATGTCAAGTACCCCAAGAAAGTTATGATTGTGTCCCAAACTCTTGGAAGAATCTAATGTGAAAGGTTTTAGGTGAGCTGATCACTTGCATTTTCATCTTTTCTCTTCCAACTTTATTTGGCAATGGGCTCGATCTTCAGACATGGATTAAGACTTGTAAATCAGAACTCCTATAGATTCAGAGGTCCACATTGTTAAGAGATATTATTAGAAACTAAAACACAGGCTAGATTGAAGCTCCTAACCTAAATCTCTAGGCACAGCTCCCTGCTTTCTTCTTCAGTATCACATTGGTGGCCACACTACTTTCTTCCCTCCCACGCGGACCGTTTCCTCCTGACAATGCTACAGTGTGGAGTTGGCATCTTTATGTAAATGGCTGTTCTCAGATTCATTAAGCCTCATTGCCCCTGACATGTTCTTTTCTGATCCTTGTCAGCCACACTGGGGCAAAATGTAAAGAAATAAGACAAAGAAAGTCAATAAAAGTGTTACAACCAAGAAGTGTATTGTGACCGTGACCAACAAGGAAATTTGGAAATGGGTGAGTGAACACCCAAGGATGCACTCTCAGTTCGTCACAGCTACAACATTTGTTCAAAGCCCGACAAGTGCTTAGCACCATTTCAAGGTGTCACATAGGGATGCATAGGAAGTGACAGTCATAGATGCTACCTTACGAGCCCTAGCAGTTTAATAGACAAGATAGCACAATTAAATGCCTGGATACCTGTAAACATACACCTGACCCCTGCTTACTTCTCTAATTAGTCATTACTTCTCTCATAACACCTGCCAATAGCTGCCACATTAGCTTATTTACTTGTGTTCTTGCTTATTATGGCCTCCTGAGCTGAGATTTACCTGGGATGCAACAGTGGGTCCATTCCAATTATTTATCTCTACCATTTCCATTCTCACCCACTGGAATAGGAATTCCAAGAGACAGGGATCATGTCCACTTTATTCAACATTGTAACCCCAGAGCTTAGCAAAATCTACTTAGTAGAGTCTCAAAAAAAATTTGTTTGAACAAATAAATAAGTAAACCCAGCAAAAGTTATATAGAGAGATTAAATAATTTATCTTCTGAATGCTGCTACTAACTTAAGAACACAAAGTTAAGTGTAAACCTGGTTCCAAGGCACAAATAATATTTTCAAAGAATTTAGATAGGAAAAAAAAATCTCTAAATCCTGGGGCAGCTGCCCCAAAACTGGCCACAGATGTATAAGTGAGCATAGTCAAAATCAGCAAAACTGATTCTAACTGACCTATAAATTCATGAGCCATTGAATTTTAGAGTGGTTTGGTTTGCAGCATCATTGTAGCAATAACTAACTAATATTATACTCGTTTTTTAAATAAAACATTAATCACCAGCAAAACAAACATTGCAATTCAAACATGATTTATCTTTATTGAAATAGAAAATATTTTTAGCTAATTTATTTGGTTCCTCTATGACCATAGACAACACCTTCTCTGCAACCATGGCATGTCATCGGGGCACAGAAGGCCTGGGTGGGGCGCACTTAGAAAAGAGAATGGAAGGACATTAGCTGGCTTAACACCACCACGGTGGATGTCACCTTTCCAGCACTGTTTGAGCTCAAGTATTTCTTTTGCACATCATCCAGGATGGAGAACACAGCCTCCACGGCCTCCTTGCGGGTGGCCTGAATCCAAGATTCTGGCAGAGCACATCCATATGTGCCACTGTCCCTCAGCTCAAATGTGTATGAGAAGGGGATCCCAATGTCCCGAGCCCAGTCTCTTGAAGACCCTGATGAGGCATCTGCAAATGAAACCATGAAGGCAGAGTTAGAATTTGTATAGTGAAAGCACAGATTTCGATAAGCCATTTCAGGAATAAAGGTTCGATGCAGAAAAATAAGCAACTCCTTCATGTTCGGGTGTCATGGGTAGCTCTCTTCTCCCTCTCCTTGATATTAAGCCCCTGTACGGTAGGAATTAGTCTTGTTTGGTCTCTCTGTCTCCCTTTCACTACCACCACCAAAGGACCTAAGATTATACCTGATACATAGCAGAAGTTTCGTTAGTTTCTCAGCTGAATCAAAGACTGGACAACCTAATATTTTAAGACAAGAGTAAACTGACATATAAGGAACAGAAACAAAGTGACCATCTGGAAAAATATGCAAATATTATCTAGGCGGTCCTCTGGTGGGTGGAGGAGGTGGTGGTTGGTGATGGGGATAAGTAGTGCACACTTCTTCCAACTAAAATATTATTATTTTTTAAGACCTTTTCTCCAGGCCCCACCTGCTCTGCTTTCTTAGCCTGATGGGTTCTCTGGGAACTGAATCAATTGACCAAGGATCACTGGAAAACGTCCTTCCTGTTAACTCCTGTGCCTTCTCTCTGCCAGCTCTTTTAAACTGAAGCCAGAGGGAGTTCTGGTCTTAGCCAGTGTATTAATTTTTCCTTTGAGCTCACATCTTATCCCTAGAGAACATAATTCTGGATTTGTACAGACTCTCTTTTATCTTTGGTCATTTTGATTTTGTAAAACTTCCTGTTGATCCCAGGAACTCGTCTCTCCCCCTTCCGCCCACCCTACTCCCCAAAGTCCACTGACTTCTTTTGTTCCTTAGGTACTATTGAGAAAAAAGAAAGAGAGATACTTACATAACATCTCTAGAGTCTGTCCAACTTTATAATGGGTTCCATGCCTTGTTTCCAGTGCACTTGCTGCCTTCTGTCCAACTTGGATGTAGAGGTGGGAAATGCAGAGACCAATATCTAGGGTTAAAACTAAAATCAACAATCCAGAGGGTTGGTATTTTGTCTAAATCCACCTTGATGGTTTCAGACCATCTTTCTCTCTTCCCATTGGACATCTATACCTAGGTAGCCTGCTGGTACTTCAGACTCAACACACTCAAACCCAGTAAGTAAAGGATTTTCATATTTCTGGCTTATCATAGTCCTCCAAACACATGTAAAATCATTTTTGACTCTTCTTCTTTCAAACAGTTACCAAGTTTTATTTCCAGTGCTATCACCTTCTATCAGTTTTACTGCCTCTGAAATGGACTATTGTTACCTTGTAAGGTGATTGGCTAAGGCCCTGGCATTTGTGTGGGAGGATGGAGTTTAGGATGGGATGCAGGTCTGGTATGGGATGAGTTCAAATGGAAAGAATGTTAGCACCTAAAACATTAGAATTCTTATAGCTATTCTAATTTCAGAGCAGCTTAGAACAGAGCTGTATATAGTTATGTTTCCCCTACGTAGTGATTGCCAAGTTGTCTATCATGCAGCATAATATTTATCATGATTTCTACACATTTTTGGTTTTGTAAATATATAGAGATTAATTATCAGACTTGGTAGTTGTAAATAATACTAGAAGTGGAAACCCCCTGAAACAGTTGCCTTGATTCTGTGTCCTTGTGCGCTGTCAAAGCTTACCCATAAGAACCCCAAACCACTGCTAGCTGGCTTCAGTTAGGTTGAGACAAGGTGAGAAAGTCTTTACACCTTCTTTTTATTGAAAATTATGGAGATGAGTGTTCATGCTACCTCTTCAGCACCTGAGACTGTAGGAGATACAGAATTAAAGAATATTTCTCAATTCAGTGTGTCAATTTCTTCATGTATTACTAAAAGGTGTACCATAATTCTCGTCTTAGCGGCCCCTCCTGCCTTCTTGCCCCCTCTAGCCTGTGGCCAAGAGGGCTCCAACAAGAAGTTCAATCAGCAGCACAAGACTCTCTAACCTTTCAACACACACCTTGCAAAATGGTCACGTGGTATTTGTTTTGTTGAACCAAGAAGGGAATGAAATTACCTAGAAAAATACTGGAGTATATGGGCCTCTTTTTCTGCTAGTGGAAGGCCTGTCCCATCAGAAATGGCCTGTCTTTGGTAGTTCATTCATATTTGTCACAGATCGCTTTACATAGAAAGTAAACATCCATGACAAATATCACAGAAACTGGAGAATAAGGAGGGTTCTGGGCTTCTCATCTGAAATCTGTTTCTGGAGACTTCTTTAAGGAAGAAATGAAACTTCTAGGACCAAAAAATGCGGGGGAAATAGGATACTGTGGTGAGAGCATCTAATTTAATAACAGTTCCTAGAAGTTGTAAACACTTCCTGAGCCAGTGTGAGGTGATCAGATGAATGTAACCCCTGGAATCTGAAGACACGGGTTCCAGCCCTGGCTGCACCACTCACCGTCTGCAGGAGCTCTAGGAACATCACTTAACTCAAGGTCTCAATTTCCACATCTCCCACGTGAGCTTACTATATTGTCATGAGGCTCAGTTGAGATAATGGCTGTGAAATCCCTTCGTAAACTGTAAAGTCCAAGGCAAGTGTTAGTTATTTCCACATCTTGTAAAGTGATCATGTAGTACCAAAAACACCTAGGTACAGCTAGAAATGTTGACTACTAGGGAAAGGCTCCCTCTAGCAAAGCTCTGTAGCGTTTTTCTTTTTCTGCCCAGACAAGTGTTTAATGGGTCCATGCTCCAGTGGGAGGGGACAGGATGTGCAAGGGAAAAAATGGGTGCCCAGGCCTCCGTGATTTTAAGAACAGAGCAAGCTTAGTCCCTATCCATCCCAGTATTTGTTGATAATGAAGAGTTTGTTAAAAAAAAAAAAAAAAAGGTAAGCGTAAAATACCAAGAGGTGGTCAGAATGTGGAAAAACTGGAACCTTTGCGTGCTGTTGGTGGGAATGGAAAGTGGTGTAATTCCTATCGAAACAGTTTGATGGTTCTTCGAAAAATTAAAAATAGAATTACCACAGGCTGTTTCTACTTCTGGTTATACGCCCAAAAGAACTGGAAATGGGGTCTCAGGAGATATTGTACACCTATGTTCATAGTAGCATTTTTCAAATAAACGAAAGGTGGAAACAATTCAGATGTCCATTGATAGATAAACAGACAAGGAAAATGTTGTCTATGCATACAATGTAATATTATTCAGCCTTAAAAAGGAAGGCAATTCTGAATATGATACAACATAAATGAACATTGTGCTAAGTGAAATAAACCAGTCACAAAAAGCCAGATTCTGTATGATTCCAGTGATATGAGTTATCTAGAGTAGTCACTCATAAAAAAAGAAAGTAGAATGATGATTTCCAGGGGCGAGGGGGACAGGGTATAGAGTTTTACTTATGCAAGAGAAAAAAGTTTTGGAGATTGATTGCATAATAATGTGAATAGACTTAACTGTCCACTTAAAAATGTTTAAAATGGCCTGGCTAGTGTGGCTCAGTGGTTGAGCATTGACTCATGCACCAAGAGGTTGCTGGTTCGATTCCTGATCAGGACACACGCCCAGGTTGTGGGCCAAATACTCAGTGGGGGGCATACAGGAGGCAGCCAATCGATGTTTTCTCTCATCAGTGTTTCTATCTCTCTTTCTCTCCCTTTCTGTCTCACTAAAATCAATTTAAAAAATTTTAATGGTTAAAATGATACATTTTATATGTATTTTACTGCCTTTCAGAATTGAAAAAAACAATAAAAACAAGATACAAACATTACAATCCTAAAGGTATCCTCTTTTTGACGTGTGTCTGTTGTTCCCGGGTTCATAAAAGGGCAGAGCCTAGTCCTCCTGGACAGTTCTGTGCGCCGTCGGCTGGGTAAACAGCTTCCGAGCGGGACTGGGTGAGACAAAGCTACTTTCCCTGCGCAGGCCTGGATTTCACTGGCGCTTCCCCTACAAATACTCCTCTGCAAATACTAGAGGCAGCGTTTAGAAGAAAATAAAGCGTTGTGTTTAGCGGAGGAGAGCGCGGCTATTATTTAGCCGAGTTATTTTCGAGGTGCCATATTCCACTAACAGCTGGCGAGTCCTTGGAAGCACGGCTCACGAGCCTTCACTGCTGATCGGCGCTTCCAGAGAATTTACAGAAATGAGAGCACATTCTTGCAGATTATTAACATAATCATCTCATTTATATTATAGACGAATACCTAAGATGTCTCCCAACTTGACATTTTATGAAACAGGTAGTTAATTAATGTAGGTAAAGCAGCATTTAACCTGAAACCTTCCCAGCAGGCGGCTGGCAAGGTGTGAAAAGCAGGAGAAATAAAGAACAGAGGGAACAAAAGCAGGGCTGGGGCCAAAGATCTAGGAAATAGAAATCGGGGCAAGGAAAGCAAGGCTCCTACTGAGGGTTCTCTAGAGCAGCGGTTCTCAACCTGTGGGTCGCGACCCCTTTGGGGGTTGAACGACCCTTTCACAGGGGTCGCCTAAGACATAACAGTAGCAAAATTACAGTTATGAAGTAGCAACAAAAATAATTTTATGGTTGGGGGTCACCACAACATGGGGAACTGTATTAAAGGGTCGCGGCCTTAGGAAGGTTGAGAACCTTTAGACTTTAGGGTCTAAAGCCTGGTGCTCCGGTCTTACTAGTCCGTCATGGTTACTTGCTTTATTTTTGGTGTAGCCGTAAGGGATGAGGATGAGCCATAAGAGTGTATGGTCAGGTAGCACAGAAGGTCCTTTTTCTTGCTCTCAACTAGGCTGGAAACAGCTCTAGTCTCAGGTTCAGACGCTGGTCCTGCCCCACAGGTTAAACCTTGGCAATGCTTAGGTGCGCCAATACCTGGAATGCAGGAAACCACAAAGAAGGAATCATGACGGAGGGTAAGAAGTCATCTTCACTCAGGGCAACTGTGGGTGGACTTGGGGCTTGACCTTGCTTGTCTAAGTTAGTTCTGGTTAAGTGAGTCAACTTGGATCACCCTTCAAGGAGGAACTCAGAAAGGCAGAAGGGCTGACATTCGGGTTTAGAAATCAACTCCGTGCTTACATGGCCCGGGAGGGCAGGTGTAAAATGGAATGGCATTTTCCGTCATTTTTAACTTCAACTTGTGGTGGGCCACAAAACAAATGGTTGGGGACCAGTTCTCAGGTTCCCAAGGTCAGACTGACATAGTCTTCTTGACCTCAGCTTCTCTCTCGCTGTCTTACTGCTTTGTCTCATTAGAGCCGGTTTGCAAGTGCTACGTGGCATCTCATTTAATCCCCACCACCTACTGAGAGGATGCTTACTGTGGGCCACACTCTAAATAAGGGAAAACAGACAGGGGAATGAAGCAATTTTTCCAAGATCGCACAGTCACTAAATCTGAATTTTAACCCTGGCCGTCTGGTTGTTCACCCGACTGCCCTTCAACTTTCCCACCTCTGCGTTTACTTCCAATTCACGGGCACGTTGAGATTCAGAAACATGAAACTGCCTTCAGGAGGAGAAAATGTTTGGTGCGTTTATGCCTGCCCTCCTGCTGCGAAATAATCTGCAAGGGTAGTTCTCTGTTTTTCTTCTCTTTATGATAATTCATATATTTCTAAACAAAGCAATGGATTTCAGGCGTATTCACACTGGCCTAGGCCTTCTTGGCCCTAGTTTAACCAACCTCACTTGAAGAAAGTCCTGCACGAGGATGTTGCTGCTTTTTAATATCATCCCTTTAGAGGGAACACACAGGACAGGGTTCCCAGCAAGCTGTACAAAATTAGACGTTTATTTTCAAGTTATTTCTCCTGTAATTACCTCTTTCCTGGCTTCTCCATATTTTGTTCATCAATTTATCTACTAAACATGAACTTACTACACCGGGATGCATTGAAATCTCTTGTGAGGTCTGTCCCAAAACATGTGCCATTATTATGGGATGAACGGGATTTCCTCCAAAACCGAACCTGAACAGAAGAACACAGGGATGTTGCCATTCTAAGGTCTCATAAATCACAGTGTTAGTAATGACGAGTGGTCCTCAAATAGAAAAGTCATTCCCAGGATTGTCTGGAAGAACTTGCCTTTAACATGATGAAGCTTATGTATATGACTTTTAGTCTTGCAGATAGGCTACCAACCCCCAATAACAGGAACATTCTACACCATCAAGTTGAAGGGAATAGTTTAGCTTTTTCCTCATGTGCGGGTTAGCAGTGCTTGGTGGATGTGATCAGGGAAATCTTCAGAGAAGCATTTTAGGTCCAAGCGATACAGAATGAAAGGGAAACAGCTCGGCAGATGGAACAAGGCTGTTCCAGATGTATCAGAGACGGTCTCTGCACAGCTCTGGAAGCCGGAGACTGATGTGTGGAGACGAGAATAAAGACAAGTTCGCCAGACAAGCGCAGAGGGAAGGATTTCATAAACATACTGGGCAAAAGGCTGTTGCAGAGATAGGGGTCCCATGAAGAACCTTGGGAGGTGGTGCTGGGGGAGGGGGAGGAATGAATACTCTCTAGAAAGAGGGGCTCTTATTTGTGGAGTAATATGCTTTAGAAACATTTTAAAGAGGAAGTTGTCTGCTGAATGAAAAGGTTTATGAGATATTTGCCCCCTATGTGAATGATCACAATGAAAAAAATGAAGGCTGGATTAGTGTCTATACATCATCTGTGTCCCTTGTGCTACCAGAGGCAGACACAGGGTGATGTAAGAAATGTGTATCAATATAATCCTGATCAGGTGGTAGACACCCCACAAACTTTAAGGAGATGGAGTTGGAGAAAACAAGTCTGGCCGAAAAACTGGGAGTATGTCAAAACAAAATAAAACAAAATGTGCTGGACTTCAACTCTAAAAAGGACTCTTCAGTGCTGAACTTATTGTGGGCTTAAATATATTAGGTTGAGTTTTATCTCAAACAGTGTTGCTTTGTTTGCATGGCCACAAAACATTTCATAGCTGCAATGACAGGTCAGACTAATGAACCGGAGTCCAGATCTAGTTTATGAAGTCATCCTAGGACCAAGCTCAATGTACTCACAATTGTCCAAGTGTAGATATAACTATCTATGTTAAGAACTGGAAGCACATAGAAGTCCAGGTTCTTAAGGAACTTTTACCCTTGGGTTGCCTTGATAGTTTTGTAGAATCTGGAAATTTAAGAGAGACGTTTGGGATCATCCTGGTAAGAGGTGTTTTTCTCTTTTAGTTTTTAAAATGATGTCAACTTAATCATAAGAGATGTGCACAACCTCCACCCTCCACCCCACCTCAGTTGCCTCTTGGTTACAGTGATGGTCCTCAAACGTCAGTGTACATCAAGATCACCTGGCGACTTGTTAAAATACAGATTGCCTGGTTCTGCCCCCCCACCCCTAATTTACTAGGTCTGAGGTGGGGCCTGAGAACCGGCATTTCTAACAAGATCCCAGTTGTGTTGATGTTGTTGGCCTAGGAACCACTGAAAACTTTTTTTTTTTTTTTTATACTCACCCAGGGACATTTTTGCATTTATCTTCAGACAGAGCGGGAGGGAGAGAAGGGGGAAGAGAGAGAGAGAAACATCGATGTGAGAGAGACACATTGATTGGTTGCCACCCACACGACCCCAACCGGGGCTGGGAACAAACTGCAACCAAGGTACGTGCCCTTAGTGGGAACCGAACCCTGGACTCTCTGGTCCGCAGGCTGATGCTCTAACTTCTGAGCCAAACCGGCCAGGGCACCACTGAGAACTCTTTGTGGGTTAAATTCTTTATGCTCGGGTTTCTGAAAAGACTGACACAAAAAATATGTTACTTTTAAAGGTTCTTTATTCCCTCAAGGGAGGGGTATAGGTAATATGCAAAAATTCATCGTACTAGGTATTTTTCATATCTTAATCTCTTAATACACAAACCGACCTCTGAAGGAGTCATTTTATGCTTCTTTTGCAGGTTAAAAAAAACGAAGGGTTCTAGTGTTAGAAATGCCCAAGACTATTTGAAAAAGGATTCACTCATCTCCGACTTCCAAGACATATTTTCTTTTACATTTAGGTATGCTTGTCTTCCAATAACAGCAATGTTGAATGCACTGGAAAGAGATCAGAATACCTCACTTTTCAGTGAAGATACTTTAATTCCATTTCCCTTGGGGAGAACAAGTAGCTCAGTCGAGTTGCCATGCCAACATGTGAATAAAGCAGGCTTTCTACATAGCCAAGACGTGACAGGTATTTTGTGGGGTGGTTAACCATTATGAGGAAGCTAAAGACACTCACTTCTTTCACAAACCACTGGCAAAAAGCAGGGGCAATCCGTTCCCTGGCGTGAATTCCACAGTCCATCCAAATGATCTTCTTGGGGTTATTGGACGGTTGGCTGATCTGGAGGGAATATCCATGCTCCATTACCAAACAATCACGTATTATTGTAAGCCACTGTGCAAAGTTATCAGGTTTTTTATTCCCCTAGAGGTCCCTTTCCTGCTCTACTGTGTGGTCTCGGGCATGAAGCAAGGATGCTGGCAGAGATACACGCCAATATGACACTTCCTCAGCTACGCTTGTTCTTCTGTCCATGACCTTGGCTGTTGTGCTTAAGACCACATGCTGAGTCCCCATGTCCCCCACCAAAGACCAAGCAGGGAGGCTGGAGATTGGGTTATCCCCATGGCTGTGCTATTATCTGGCTGTGTGACTTTGAACAAGTTACTTCACTTCTCTGGGCTTGGGTTTACTCAATCATAAAAAGAAAGAACCAAAACTGAACATTGTACATGATTTTTAAATGTTGTTTAAAAGAACACTATTTATATTTATTTTTAAAATTCAAAATACACATGAAAAGTGAGTGGGCTCCGGCTGACGCAGTGAGTGGGGGATTCTCCCTTACGCAGTCTGCCCTATTCCACCTCAATGCGAACAGTGGAGGTACCCAGGCCTTCACAGAGCCAGACACTCACCCAGAATGGTTCAGGCCCTGTCCACTCCATCATCCATGGCGCTAAGTTCCTCAGTCTTAGTGAGGATGAGGGAGGCCCCACGTGGAGACAACAAAGGAATATGCTCTTATATTTCTGGGCCTTACTATTTTCAAGTCCTACCCCATGGTCCCACCCAACTATTCCACACACTCTTTGCTCTAGAGCTAGATTCCACGCAGATAATTAACGTGTGAGCCTTTACAAATTTTGAATTTTAAAAGCCCAGCTTGGGGTGGAAAAGGCAGTCTTTCTGCACTGCCTCTTTTTTTTTTTTTTTTTTTTTTATCCTCATCCGAGGATATTTTTCCATTTTTTGTACAGATAGAGTGGGAGGGAGAGAGAGGAAGGGAGAGAGAGAGAGAGAAACATCGACGTGAAGGGACACATCGAGCGGCTGCCATCCGCACGACCAACCAGGGCCGGGGACAAACTGTAACCGAAGTACGTGCCCTTAGCGGGAACTGAACCCGGGTCTCTCCGGACCGCAGGCCGACGCTCTAACCGCTGAGCCAAACTGGCCAGGGCTGCACTGCCTCTTTTAACCTTGTCTACATTTCTGACTAGATCCCCCGAATAGTAAACAAGTATCCTTGTGTTCTGTGGGAGAGACCTCTGTTCCCCAGTAAGGCAATTCTCAGCCTTCTCACTCACCTTCAAATAATACATGGGCTGCATCTCACAGGTCATCCCTAGGAAATGCTTTGTCACTATTTTTGCGTACTTCTCACTTATCTGGCTCATCCACTGATAAACCCGCAGCAGCCGGGGAGAACTGCAGCGATCAGTCAGAGATTGTTCACTTGCCTCTGATTAAGATAACTGCTTCTTTCATTAAGATACCGAATTCCTCTGTTTTACATTGCAACAGCTGTGTGCTAAACAGGCTAGAATACGAAACCAATCAATTATTCCCCACCCTCTCTTATTTTCTTTAAAGCACTACTCTGCCATAAATCTTAGCATACCTGTTGAACTCTGCAAAGAAGTTAGTGAGAATGAACAATTTCCACTGATAATAAACATTCTTCAAAGGGCCGCCAGACTTAGCTTCCATGTGACACCCAATCACTCCAGAAATTTAGAGTCAGCCTTATTTTGTGGGACTTTCTTCAGTCTTTATGGATCTCAGTAATATCCTTTGCTAATGTCCATGGTTCCAAGTTTAGAGGAGTTGGGTAAGCCCTTCATAGACTATGACAACAGAAAGCTCAAGTTAATCATTTGATTAAATTGGGCAGACCTGAATAGATGTTGATTTAATTACAAATCATACACTGTGCTTAGAAAAGAAGGGTCTTACATTTTTCCTGTAAGTCAATAACTTGGAGTTCTATGAAAATGACTGGAATTTACAAGTACAAGACATTAAACAGTCACCAGGATGTGACAGAATACCTCCCATACTTAAAAACCTTTCTTGTACTATTTTTAAAAAGCTCTAGAAAATATTGATGTATCCCCAAATATTGAGAAAATAAGTGGTAAAGCTTATTTGGAGGGCAACTTGTACATTTATATAAAAATTTAGATGGGCATATCCTTTAACCAAGCAATTCTATTTTTAAAAATGTATATTTCAAAAAAGTTTTGTATAATGGCTCACATACCCCCCCCCCACACACACATTTATTTGCATATATAGTACCTAATTTTTTACTGTAACTAGTTTTGGAAATCACTAAACTTATCTTAGTAGCAATACAAATACTTATTTGAAAAGAGTTTTCTTATCTTAAGAACTGCTGAGTCTGTCTCTTTCATCCTATAAGAAATACAGTCGTCCCTCGTTTATCAGAGTATCACAGTTAATCCGTTCCTGACTCTAGCAGTTGCACCTGGCGTTGAAGGACTCCTGGGGTGCTCGAGTACATAGGCCTACAGTCCATACGTACAGTAATTTTAATTTTAATTGTGATACAGGGGTGTACAATTGACTCAGACAACTGAGTGTGCACTGTATCATTTTCACTGTCTTGATCAACTTTTTAATGAATATATTTGAAAAAACCGTGATAGAGTGAAGCCGCGAAAGTCGAAACACGAAGTGGCGAGGGACGACTGTACCACATTTTCAGCTAAACACGAGTCAGAAGTCTTCTCCATCGCACACCCCACACCCATACACACACTGGCCTTGCCCTGCTTAAACTAGCTAAGAACTTGATAAACAAGAGCACGGGTTAATTCTGATCCATGTTCACACTCACAGAACTGGTCAGGGTGCTTTTTTTCTTCTCTTTTGTTTTTGATTTGCCTTTTTATTTCATAGTACCAGGGTCTGTAGCTTCAATGGTGGTGGTCAGGGGTGGGGGTTAATGTTTGGGAATTCCTTAACCTCAGTGCCCAGGCAAATCTCCATCTCATATTGTGAGCCTCTCTAGTCAATGAATATTAATAGTGAACCATCCTCACCGATCCTAAAGTAGGTTGTGCCTAACACCAACCCCACCATGTATCCTTGCTCACCTCCCCCATAGGGTGGTATCTGTTATAGGGATAGGTCTCCAGGCTCCTCCATGGAGTAATTGTCTTGTTCACAACCTCCTGCCTGTGTTATGCTAGCGATCTGCAAAGGAAGAAAGGCAGATAAAAAGCCGAGAAGAAACTGGGATATCATGAGAGTTGGAAGGTGGACCAAAAAGGCAGCAGAAAGCATTGCACAATATCTGGAGGATAAAAGCCATTTATCTCCTTAAGGTAAACATCATTATTCCAAGTTATTATATTTTTTTTCCTGAAGATTTTGTTACATGGGCAAAATAAAGATACTTTTATTATAAAATAAATTATACTTTTATTATATCCTAGAAAATGGGCATGAAACATTTATTAGTCTATTTTTTGAACCGTGTATCTCTGATTGGGACTACAAACAGAGCCAAGTGGTATTGACATGATAAGGGCACTAGAAAACAATTTCAGGGCTTTCTTTGGAAGGGGAGAGTAGAGAGAATGGGCCAATGGGAAGGATATGTCTTCAGCCCTCCCTTCTCCCTCCTTCCTCGAACTGGTTGTCCTGCCCTCATGTCTGGCCAGGAAATGAAATCCTTGGCGATGCTTTCACGCCAGTGTTGGGACCAGGGATGGTCGCTGTCACAACAGCCAGCGAACACTTGGTTGCGTGGCTGTCACAGGCGTCTCCTCAGTGGCAGGACAGGCGCACACGCACTGCACGGCGGGGCTGGCGTCTGGCGAATTCCTAGTCCCCGGCAACTGCGCAGCCCAGAAGGGGACAGATCGAAGGTGACCGGCCGCCCACGAGCACCAACACCTGGCTCTTCCGCAGCTGACGTCCGCCAAATGTGTGAGCTTCTGTCTCCGAAGCCCAGCTTAGCATGACTAGGTCCATGTAACATGCAAAAAAGGGAACCGTCTGGAATTCGAGCGAAAAGCTTTGATATTAAAAGTGCTTATCGCTTTTACATGAAATTAAACACAATGCTTAAGCGGCACAGATCCAGATACTTAGTTCAGGCAATGTTTAAGCCATATAATTAGAGAAGGCAGTTCCCTCTTTCTATACAATTTCTTGGGTGATACATAATACGTGTAGAGAGGGAAGGAAACATACCTAATCCCCCAAATTATCACTAGTCTCATCTCACCTATCAAATGAAAAGATAATTGTAATTTGTGTATTCTTTTTGAATAAGAATTCGTAAAATGTCCAACAGAGAAAATGATCCTTTAGGGTACATTATTAATAAATACTGAAGATCAAGGATTGAGGAAATTTTGATTGGAATGTATAAAGAAGCCCCCCCAAAAAACTACCAGACAAAACCCTAATGAATATTGAGGCAAATTTTGTATTTTACATACTTGGTAAGAAATGGTTTCATAAGTGTTTCATGACAGCAAAGTATTTTCAAACTTTTTTTCTGGCTTAGAAAATTAACATATGCTTATACTGAAAAATTTAGAAAGTACAGAGAGAAGAAAAAAGAGGAGAAAAATAGAAAAGAGAAAAAAATAAACTTTAATAATCTCACCTCCCTGTGTTAAGCACTTGATGGTTTGGTATATTTTTTGTCAGTCTTTTATCTGTGCATATTTTTTCTTAAACACAGTACAGATTATATCTATATTTAATTTTGTATTCACTCCTTTGTATTCTGTATTCTATCAGAAATATTTTTTCAAACCCATAAAATCTCTTCATAAACATTATATTTAATGACTAATATTTATTGTAGGTATGTATTACATAGCACCATTTATTTAAATACTATCATCTGTGCTGGATATTAAAGCTATTTCTCTTTTTTGTTTTGTGCTATTGTAAATAATTCTGGACTTAATGACTTTCCACATAAATCTTTTTGCTCACTTCTGATTATTTCTCTGAGCTACATTCCAGGAAGAAGAATTAGTAGGTCAAAGAGAATGAACATTTTCATGGCATTTGATTTATATTGCTAAATCCCAAATGATTCTACAGACTCATACTTTTATTGGGAGTATGTGATATGTATGAGAGCATCTCAAGAGAAAGATTATAAAGCTTGTGATCTTTGTTAATTGTTGATTTTGTAGAGTATCATTCCATCAGTCATAGTGAATAAAGAGTGTAAAAATGGCAGTAATCTATATTTTGAGTTGGTAAGAGCCATTTAAAAATGGACATTATTTTATAACAGTAAATAGTAATGAAAATGAAAGCCATTAGAATGAGGGAAGCAGATTCAAAATGTTTTCCTCAAGTGTGGTCACAAGGAGCTGTCCAATGGAAACCATCTCCTCTGAGTCCCATTTCCTGAGCCGGATCACTTCCATAACTTAACCTGGGCTTGGTGGTCATATAAATACAAATTTTAATGCATCTTCACTGTAGAATATTTTCAAAATAAATAGTTGAGGGAAAGGAAAAAAATCTCCAACAAAGACAACGATGACCATTTTGGTACATATTTTTTTCCTTATATGTTTCTAAGTATTTCATTACATTTTGTATTCTGCATTCTTTCTTTAGCAAAAAACGTGCATTTCTCCATGCTATTAAAATGTTTTTATAATCATATTCCAAAGGTTGAATAATATTTCATTATTACATATGTCAATACGTACATAATAGTATAATATTTAATATAATATTTATATTATAAGTGAGGCTACATTTCAGTGTATACATTCTTTCTGTACTTTTGTTTATTTCCTCAGTCTAGATTTCCAGAAGCAGGAATACTAGGTCAATATATGTGTAAGTTTTAAGGCGCTTGATATTTTTAAGAAGAATGCTTTTTTTCTCAGTCAAAGCCTTGTGAAAACTGTAAGATTCTTTGTCTCTAGTTTATAAATGAATAATCTTAGAAAGAAAGATAAATGCAGTATATATATGAAACCAAGCAAACTAATGGAAAAAAATAAGAAGGCGATGTTCAAATGAGTTTTGACATCATAAAAAATCCTAGACTCCCTTTATATATTTGAAATCAGACTATGTATGAAGCTAAGGGACAAGTTAAAGTCACACACATGGTCTAGGCAAAAAAAACTTGTTCTATGAGAGCAAGTTTATTGCAAGATTCTTTTAACCATAAAAGAAAAGAGGAAACATTTTATAACAGCACATGCTTCATGAGATATACCAAAAAAGCCAAATACTGAGTTATGTATGAACAAGGGAAACAATGCTTTATATGGAGACTGTACTACACACATACATATACAAACACACACACGGAGTCTTAAAATATTGTATATTTACAGAAGCTATGATTAATTATGAGTAAGGAAAGGACACAAAAATGGGCATGAATGCATAATTTATAAACTAATAAAATGAATAATAAATAAGACAAAATATTTAACCTTATTAGAAATCAACAAAATGCAAAATAAATAATCTGTCGGTGTTTTTCACTAATCAAATTGGCAAACACTGAAAAAGTACTTTCATACACTGTTGGTGGAAGTGTAGAATGATGCAACTTTTCTAGAAGGCAATTTGGCAATGTTCAGCAAGATTCTTAAAATTTTCTCAGCTCCTAACCTAGTAATTATAATTCTCATCACTTACATTAAGAAAATAATCAAAATTTTGCAAACATAAATATTGCTGTAGCTGGATGCTTATAGTGGTATTATTTGTGAAAATGACACAGTTGAAATCAAATAAATATCCTATAGGGTAACAATGATGAAATACTGTTACTAATTGCAATGTGTTTTAAATGAATAATAAATGTTATAGGAAAATTTTTATCATACAATTTAACTGAAAAATTTTGGCAACAGTACTATATACATAATTAGCTAGCTAACTATTCAGAAATAGTAACAGTAATTATTTCTTGGTGAAATTATTTGGTAGTTTTAGACATTTTAAGCATTTTTCTTGATAATTAGAATAATGTAATTTACTAATGAGAAACAATGTAAATGAGAGACAGAAGTTTTACTATAATTTTCTTGTTTCAATCACAAAAAAAACCCATAACATTCTATTGGTATTTATCATACATTGTGCTAGAAAATGTTTATTAGATTTTTATTCATTTATTCAAAGATTACTAGAGTAAAGTTTAGTGATGAAAGTTCAGTGATCTTTATTATTCTTATCTTATGGTGGTTTGTAGGGGTAGGAAGAGAGGAGAATCCAGCTGCATTATTCTTGAAAAATGTTTTCCATTTATTTTGAAAAAGGTATTCCATTTAATACCTTTATATCATAAAGTCAGCCCCTCTTCCACTTCCCACTTACCTAGCATATCCCAGCCCCCCGGGGACCAGCTTCCTCAAGAGGTAAAGGGTCCCAAGCAGAGGCTTCATCCTTCTGCAGACATAGCTAGGCGGTTCTGGGCCTCTCCTAAGGTCAGCAGATCGAGTGCCTCTGAGAATGAATTCAGGGATTGGCTCTCACAGTGAAGATAGGACAAGTGGATGTCTCAGCAGAAACACATGTGAGCAGTAGCTTCATTAACTCCACCATGTTCTCAAACAGCTTTTTTTTAAAATAGTGGAAAATACTACCATTTTATTTTTCATTTATCCTATAAAAAAATTTACACAAGTACTTGGCTCTGCCAGAAAGAAGTTTCTTCCCTATTTGTAGGAATCTGCATCACCTGTACTCAGGAGCTGACCACTTCCACTGTTCACTCCTTAAGGTCCCTGGGCTTAATAGGTAGGATGTCTTCCGCTCTGGTCATGGTGAGCATGATTGTTATTCAGATCTCCATTCCTCTCTGGAATTTAAGGCTTTACTTGGGGTCAAATGCCTTCTCTTGTTCTTTTAGACCTCATCACCAGCTTCTTAAACAAAACCAGATCTCACAAATATGAGCTGTGAAAACATTTAAAATTCTTTCTTAGGTGGGATTTTCTCACACACTTTTCTTACATAAAGGACTTCGTCAGACAACCACCATGTTTTCAGACAAACTTATGATATCCTTGATTCTCAGACAGTGGCCAGCAAAAGTAAAGGATCAGATTAAGATTACTGCTGAAAGTCTAAGTGACCAAGATAAAATTTAGTGCAGAGGAGTCAAGGTTTCAAATAGAGTCCTTGGTATTTGATGGTCCAGTCTAAATTCTTTGCCTTATAGTCATTCATTCATCTAGTCATTCATCCTACAAAAATGCAATGAGTCTTCACTATACGCCAGGGACTGGTATGAAGATGAATAGATACGAAGATGAATGAGGCAGACAGGATCTCTGCAGTTGTGGAACTCACAGTAGAGATGAGAGAGCAATAAGCTATACAAGCAAATCATACAATTTTAAGTAAAAGGAATCAATTGAGGTGATAAGATGTTAGTGGGTCAAGAGTATACTGAGATAGAAAAGCCTCTCCCGACTAAGAGGATGTTTAGTTAAGTTCTAAATGGTGTAACTCATGTAAAGGGCTATATAAAAAGTATTCTAGGTAAAGGGGGAAGCACGTATAGGAATTCTAGGGAAGAAATGAGCTTGCTGTGATTGGGGAACTGGAAGAAAGCCAGGGTTCGAGTGAAGTGGGAGCAAGAGAGAGTGATGAAAGATGAGGTCAGGGAGATAGGCAAGGACCAGATCTTGTAGAAACCACGGGCCATAGTATGGACTTTGGGTTTTATTCTAAGATATCATTAAAAAAGGTTTTGGTTTTATATTTTAAAGGATTATTTTGGATGCTACATAGAAAGAAAAGACAAGAGAAAGACAAATATGGAAACAGAAAGACCAGTTGGGAAGACACGATAACATTCCAGGGGAGTGATGATGGCGACTTAAGCTAGGCAGTCATGGCAAAATAGTGAGACATGGCCACATGGAGAACTTATTTTAGAAGCAGACCCAACAAATTTGCTTATGGAATGAATATGAAGTGTGAGGAAATTAGAAAACTGGAGAACAACCCCTAGATTTGGGGGCCAAGAAATGGAGTGAATCATGGTGAGTTTTTATGAGAAGGGGAAAATCAAGGAATGAGTAGGCTTGAGGGGATAAAAAGTCAAGAGCACATTTGAGACACTTATTAGACACCCAGAGGATAGTCAAGGAGGCAGCAACTACAGCAGACTGGTGCTCAGAGGGAAGGTAGCGTGAGGCACAGAAATGTGTGACTTCAGCAGGTAAGAGATGGTGTCTGACGCCACATGGAGGACCTCATTTAGGTTGTGAGCTCATCTAGAAGGAAAGAACAAAGACTGATCCTTGAGTCGTTCTAACATTTAGAGGTCTTGGTAGACGAGAGGAGTCGAGCAATGGAAATTGAGAAAGAACAGCCAGTGAGGTAGGTGGAGAGGTGAGGGACTGTTGTGTCCCTGAAGCCAAGTGAGGAAAGCATTTTAAGAAAGTGAGAGTTACCAACAGGGCCAAATGTGAAGTCGAGTCAGATGACTGATAACTAGCAACCTTGCCCAGCTGTGAGAGGTTCCAGGAAACCTCGAATAGAGCAATCTAAGTCAGCATGGGGCATGTGGTAGGGACCTAAGCCTGACTGGAGTTGGTTAATGAAGGAAAGGGAAGGGAGAGTGGAGGCAGTGAGGATAGAAAACTCCATCAACATAACTTAATGACACCGGAAGGAAACTGCATTATGTTCTTCCATCACCCCCTGGGATACAGTCAATTTGGAAATCTTGAATTTGAATTTTGATGATGTGCAGAACAGGGGTAAAATGCAACAATTCTCTCCTCACCCAAATTTAGTAACAGGGCAGCCAGCTGTCTTGCTAAGTGAAGGAAGAGTTAATAGAGCTGTGGGTTCCACGGAGGGAGAGTGAACCAGGAGAGTTGAGGCTGTTTCCTTTTCCTTCTCCTGTTCATTGAATGGGGACCAAGATGGACTCAGGGCAGAGGGGTATTTGGATAGTTTAAATAAAATGCAAGATTAGAATAGGCTTCCCCTCTTCCGACAGACATGTAATCCCATGCAGCTATTCTGAAGAAAAGGAACATAAATAAAAATAAGAAACACATGAAAATGCACAGTCAAATAATACATACAAATTTTTGGTAGAAACCTGCAAATAATTTTTTAAGTATGTTGTGAGGACGTTTGGCATTACTACACAGGGTTTTCCTAACAGTCACTGAAAATTGGATTTTCCTCAATCCCCATGTCCAATTTCACTGTACTATGTGGTCTCCTGCCAGCCCACTGTCCAAAGATTATCTTCCTGCCAGCTTATGGAATGCAAGCAGTAACCTAGAGAACTCGCAGCCAGTGAACTGGAACCATGAGCTCTTCACTAACAAGGGTGAATTATTATCACATCTTTCCTGGTGATTAGATTATTTCTTATCGTTGTGTTTTATAGCTTTCTAGTTAGTCATCTCAACACAATTTATTCACAATAATAGTGGTTTTTATTATTGCTGTTTTATAGTTCCTATAGCAGTAAAATTTATTCTCAACTCTATTATTACAATATTCAACTACTAATGGAATTCTTGTTTTTATTTGATTGTGTTTTAAAGCCATAACAATAAAATTTACTCCCAAAAATATTACTGCAAGTTTTATGTTCTCTAAACTACTTGAGAGAAAGCCTACAAACACATATGGTTCTTTAAGCCACATGAGTGAAGGCTTGCCAAAATGTAAACATTGTTCTAGAAAAAAATAAAAGGGAGGAACTGGTTCCTATTAAGGTGAGACCCATGTTTTTTGATAGAGTAGGTAATAGGATGAACAAAATAAAAGGGCCTTAGAGACTGCTGATTTAGAGGAAGATTAAATTCTAATTGGCAGGAATATTTGTTTGAAAAATCAACCTCTTTTAATTACCTGCCAAGCCCCAGACAATTCTACCATCTTTATCCTCCAAAATAATGTGCTCTCAAAATGATGCCCATGATTTCTTATGGCTGGTGGCCATACTAGTTGGAGAGAGGCTGCTATGAAATATTATTACTAAAGGCCAGGGTCATTTTGAAACTAAACAGTTTCAGTGACTTAAGAATTGGAAGGCACACAGCCAAGCCAGCTCACCACCTCCGCTGCTCCTTCGTGTTCTCACTGACCCTGAACCCAAGGACATTGCAGTAAACTTCATCACTTGCCATGTACTTTTTATACCTGGAACACTGAGTCAAAAAGCTAGGACATGAATTTTAGTCCTTCTAGGGCAGTGAAGTACCAATAGGACTCAATAAATAAATGTGTCAAGCTGGCAGAAATTAGGGTGAAGAACCTGGTCTCAGATGTACAATAGGTTGACTTATGGTCACAAGCAGGGATGGAAACAGATTGGGTGGAGATAACAGGCTGGCTGTCACTCAGAGATTATGGCTTTAGTAGTAGAAGAAGCAAAGTCGAGATTTGGTTTCTGACAGGATAGGTTCTGGTTCTGACAGAAGCTACAGAGATTGTCGCTACCATCTATGGCAATAAATAAGTAGATGCATGGACGCGTGGATGGATGCATGAATCTCTGCCATGTTCCTGTAAGACCGCACAAATCCATTGACTAGATCTAGCCTCTCACATACACCACTAGGCTTAGCATTCTGTGTACATCTGCTCCCTTTGCCCAGCTGTGGCAGCTGTAGGAATGGCTCCCACTGAGATCTACTTTCAAGAAAGAAACTGCTGACATTTGTTGGCTGTTGGTGCTTCAGAATCTGACTCAATATTCAAGCTGAGACTAGGGGCTACCTGGACATCCTCCAATGACTGAGCACAGAATTGGTTGAATACAAGCGCTCACCATTGTGCCTAGGCAGGGTTCTCCTCTGAGCAATTCTCTTGGACATGCACCACAGTCTGAGGCTCTTCCTATCCAATCCTTCTTCCTTCCCCTTCTCTTTAACAGATGTCAGCCCTTCATCATGGTCTGAAGGTTCTTTTGGCCTCCTCCTGCTTCCTCTCTCTTTTATCTTTCACAAGGACTACCCCCTGTAAATCTCTTCCACTTCCAACTCCATCTCAGCATCTGCTGCTCAGATGATCCAGCCAACACACCAACCAGACTCCAGGACAAATGAAAATAAGTGAGTATGATTGGCCTTGAGTCATAAGACTCTTTCTGGACTTTGTGGATAATTAGATGCAAAAATAAAACTGAACTTTGGAAGAACAGGGGTAATCTTGCATGGCCAGGCCCTTAACAGGTTCCAAAGATAGCCAGCAAACCGTAGAAAATCACACACTAGCTAAATGGCACATCATGCTAGTTGGCTTTCTCTCTCTCTCTCTCTCTTTTTTTTAAAGCATTTTCTATCTCCCTGCCTGTTTGCCCTGTCTCCTGTGTTCACAGTACTGTCAGGGTCCACGACCTTTTATGGAAGTGATAAACTTTGCTCTTTGTTTCTTGTGCTAAAGTATCTTCTATTTGGAT